GAGAGAGAGAGAGTTTTTTTAATATTTATTTTTAGTTCTCGGCGGACACAACATCTTTGTTGGTATGTGGTGCTGAGGATCGAACCTGGGCCGCACGCATGCCAGGCGAGCGCGCTACCGCTTGAGCCACATCCTCAGCCCTGGTTTGATTTTTAATAGCTGAAAAAGACCTAACAGGAAAGTCAGGAAAATTATCCAAGAAATGAAGGCATTTGAAAGGCAAAATATGCTAAACATAAAATATGTTTCAAAGCAGTGATAAAAGGAAAAAAAAAAAACTGCTTTAAATTTATACCCCATGGAATTGAGCCTGTTGAGTAATAGCTAATCTTATAAAGTCCTTACTATGGGCCAGGTTCTTTTCTAGGCACTTCATAGCCACTCACTTAAACCTCTGAAGTAAACACTATTATTATAACCATCATCATTTTACAGAGGAAGAAATTGAGGCACAGATAAGTTGAGTGATTTATTCAAAGATATAACTAAAACTAGCATTTGAATCCCGGCAATCTGAGTCTAGGGTTTTGGCTACAAAGCTATACTGCCACAGTGACCAACCACTTTCATATGGCATTCTATGCTGGTGTGGTTTTCTTTCTTGGGTCTTTTGAGGCTGACATTTTCTTTCCTTCTTTCCTTTCTCCTCCTTCCTTCTTTCTTTCCTCTCTCCTCCTCCCTCCTTTTTTTTTTTTTTAAAAAAAAATGTTTGACATAGAAGAGATGAAAGTGTTTTTATTCATTTTCTTCCACCAAACTCCTAAAAGACATTAGGATTTGGTCCCTTGCCAATTTTCATTGTCCATGATTGTGGTAGTCATTGTACTGCTCAGAGACAGATTCTGTTTTGGTCAGAGAAATAATATCTTGGGTTTTTTTTTTTTTTTTTTTTTAAAGATATGACTGCAATTTAAGATGTGTTCAAGGTGCAAAAAGAAAATCAGTTTAAGTGTTGAGACCAACATTTCTGTACTTTACACCTGTTCATGGTTAAACTTAGTGCCTGGAGGACAGGGATAAAGGCTTTGAGTGTTTAAAATGAGATACTGGACTGGAATTTTTAAAATGACATTTTCCCAAAATGGTACAAGCTTTAAATGAAAACATGTAAGATCTGACAGTCTGCTTTAAGTTATGAGCAGGGCCAAGGAATTACTAATTGCTACCTTTTCCTCCAAACACTACAGATTTACACATTGATTTGTTTCTTAAGCTTTTCTTTCAGATCCTGATTGCATTATGAGGTTTAGGCCCAGATGGGCATTTCATAAATACTTTTTGACAATCAATGAATAAGGCTTATTTAGTGTTCTAGACTTGTCCCACATATACCCAGGATAAAAATGTCTTACATCTTGATTGCCACTTGTTTATTTATTATCGAGAGCCATAATGAGTAGTACTCATGGGTTCTGACATCTGTAGCAGGATGCTTTTGTGGCATCTAATAGAAACTCTGACTCAAACTGTCTAAAACATATGGGAAAGGCAGAATATATTTAATTAAGCAAATCAGCAGTGTCATCAAGAGCCCAGGTTTTTTTTTTTTTTCTTCTTTCTTTCTATTTTTCAACTCTGCCTTACTTGGTGTGTAGGCTTTGATATAACTCTGGTTTTCCTCTTAGCCACAAAATGGCTGCCAGTGGCAACCAGGGTCCTTGCTTCCTTGTTCATCCAGCAGAGCAGAGATGGAAAAATGTTTTTCTCATACCATGGTATAGTAAGATTTTTCCTTCAGTCTAATCATGCCACACAGGGATTGACTGAGACTAACTGGGACTCAGCCCCTGGAAACATAAAGGGGCTTGATACCTGAACATAGCAGGGGTTCTTTTAGAAGGAAGAAGGCACAAATAAATGCTGAAGAGGCTCTGAAACTGGTTCTTCATCTGGAAAATGTTTTGAATCTTACAGAGAATTGTGAGGATTTGAAATAATGTGTGTAACATTATAGGGTTCTCAGATTTAGCAAATAAAAACAGAGTATGCCTAGTTAAATTTGAATTTCAGATAAACAGCAAATGATTTTTAAAAACACTACATTTTCAACAAACACTACAAATTTACACATTGGTTTGGTTCTTAAATTTTTCTCCTATAATCCTGGTTGTATTTGGAGGTCTAAGCCCAAAAGGGCATTACATAAATTCTTCTTCAACAAAGATTAAAAGGCTTACTTAGTTTTCAAGCCTTATCCCACATGTAGCCAGGATAAAATACATGCTTATATTAAAACTTATTGTTTATCTGAAGTTCAATTTTAACAAGGTGTTCTGTATTTTATCTGGCAGTCCTACATGTGTGTAGAATTCTTAGTACATGGAAGCATTCATTTAGTGGTAAGGATTAGTGTTCTTTCCACATAAGAAAAGAGCTCAGGAGCTCAGTTAAATGGCAGCATGATATTTTTTGAACTCTTACTAACTTCTAGAATGGCTAGTTTTTGCCCAAAAGAGGAATTAATGGAACTGAATGTGGCTCTAAAATACCCTTTACCACTACTCAAAACCAATTCAAAGGAAATGTCCCTAAGTGGCAGGTCATATTTGTACATATGGGGTAGCACACTATAAAACATCTAATGTTACTACTTAAAACTACGTTGGATTTATGTCAATGGATATTTGGTTAGTGTTTTTTTCCTTATCCTGTTCTGAATCTATACAGATAAACCATTCTCCATTTGACCCAAAGGTAATGCTGCTGAAATTTCTAGTGCAAAGGCACTGACAGGGGTGAAAATGGAATGATTGTCTCTGGAATTCTGACTCCACGTGGATGAAGCTTGAGGTCACAGCAGTGTTACTTTTGCATCTGGAGGAGGCAGGAACCTCTGCAAAGCCTTCTGCTGTTGCCTCTCACTCCATTTTCCCTCACTGCTAATTTCAATGCTCCTACCTGTAAAATTTTCTAATTCTTCCCGAAAATTTGAAAAGAAAGCAGGTACCTTCATTTCCTCATTAAATATTCACCATGTTATAAAAAAGAAAACCGTATTGGTCTGGCATTGAATGGCCAAGTCCCTCATATTGCTACATATCCTTACCAGATTCAAGACAGGAATAGATTTAATGGATTTTATCCAAGATATCTATTTCCTATTGTAACACTGGATATTTCTAATGTGGTGGTTGGTAGGACCTCATACACTGCCTCTTCTCTGTGCCTTTCCTAAAAATCAGAAAACATTTTTTTCCCTCTTTGCCTTTTAAAGTGGAAATCATTATACTGCTTTATGTAGATTTGCATGCAATGTTTAATTTTTTTTCTTAATTTTCAAAAAGTGTCATTAGAAACATATCTCCTTCCATTTCGCCACCTCTTCATCCTCATTGGAAATCTGATCCATGGTGGGTATTAAGATCTTTACATTTCTACTGGCGGGGCGATGACTTCATTGCTTTCTTGCCAGTTGGGAATCATGTGTGAAGAGCATCGGACCGAAGTAGAGCTGTGGGTTGCTGCTGTTGCTACTGCAGCAGCCGTTTGCGTGTGCCCAGCAGCTGTGAAAGAAATCCTCAGGATGCTAGTTCTTTGCTCCCAGTCACCCAAGGGATCGCAGTCTGCTGGATGACTGTGTGTGTGTGTGTGTGTGTGTGTGTGTGTGTGTGTGTGTGAGATCAGCTGCAACAGGCAGCAGCAGCAATATACTTCGATATTTTAACCAACGACAGAGATAAATCATTTTCCATCCTTTATTTCCAAAGCAGTGCTACGGCTCTCGCCCTAAATGTGCTCATCCCCTCTTCCCGGTCTCTTCCCCCTCCCCACGCTGAACGGGTCCCTTGGGAGGCAAGCCAGGATAGCTGCGCTGAAGGCAGGATTCCCCCTTTTTTTTCCGCAGTGACAAGCGGATTCCGGGGCCTCCTCGCCCCCCCCACTCCACCCCCGCAGCCTCCCCTTTCTCAGTCACGATCTCCCCCCCCGCCCCTCCCCCCGCGACAGCTCGCAGCTCGGGCCCCGCCCCTCCCAGCCTCCCAGCCCAGGTTGCTAGGGCCTGGCGGGGCAACCAAACCTGGTGCGCGAGGAGGCGCGACGCGCGCGTGCGCGCGCAGGCCGGCTAGTACAAGGAACCAGCTTTCTTGGACTTTGGGGGTTCGAGAACGAGCAGCGCGGGAGGGGTGCACGAGCCCGAGCTCGAGGACGAGCGTTCTCTCCGCATTGGCTTCTACCAGCAGTGGGCGTGGATGAGGCGGGACCAGGCGGGACCAGGCGGGACATGAGGAGCTTCTCTATAGGTCCGAGTGGGCAGGCCGGGGCGGGGTAGTTAGCAAATTAGGCTGCGCGTTCTCTTCTGCGAGAGGGCGGGGCCGGAGGTTTCGATTAGTTGTCCCTGCCGCTGGGGAAGGTAAAGCGTCGACGGCGGCTTCTGGAGCAGTGGGGTCCCCGGCTGGAGGTGGGGACTCAGCGGGGTGAGTAATCGCGCCCGCCCGTTAGTTCTTCTTACAATACCACTGACTCTGTGTCCACCCAGCTTGTTTCTCGAGAAGGGACTCACCCGGTCCCCTCGGGCAGCCAAGAGAAGGGGCGGCGGCACCAGTCCCTCTAGAATGGGGCGACGCGGCGAGGGTGTCCCAACCTGGAGTGGCTTCTCCTCGAGCTTCTGGAAGGGCTTTCCCGGAGGGGCTTGGTCTGCATTTGAGGTATGGGGAGGTGTGAAAGACGGGCGGCGGGTCGAGGCCGCCCCGCGGGACTCCCGTCGACTGCGGGTCTGCAGCGTCCCCGCCCCGCCGCCCCCGCGGCGCGAGCTCCCCGGGGCTTGCGTCTTGGGAAGCCCCTTTCTGTCGGCGCTGAGCTGGGGTCTGAGAGCTAGAGTCCCTCACCCAAGTTCCGATGGAGCCCGGGACCCGCCGGGGGCTGCGAGTTGCGGCCCCGGCCCTTCTGACCTTGGTTGCCCGCGAGGGTGGGCGACTGACCTGCTGTCAGACCTGCGGCTCACGCAACCTTCCCCGAACAAGTTTCAGGCGTTGCTATGAAGTTCATGACTGGCCTGATGGGGAAAAAGCAGTAATTGGCCCTTTCTCAGACCTTCATACCCTTTGGACCCTCATAGAAACTGAATCCTGGGGTTTGGAACCGTCTCTCCGAACGAACAGGTCCTTCTCGCATTGACAACGTTCTGTGCCCACGTTGGGGTAAAAAATAACCTGAACATATTTCAGTGTAAAGGCAGATCTTCCTTGAGGGTTTTGTTTTTCGCTTCACTTGGGTGTTAGAGCACAGATGCCTGAATGAGAAAAGCCTGACCTTAGTGTCTCTATAGAGAGATTAGACGGATGCTGCGATATTTAAGTAGTTACAGATCAGAATTCTGTTAACAATTTATTTTAATTGTCTGAAATTTAAGCTGATTTTAGAAAGTATTGTTGACACAGAATAATTTCTTTTCGTGCATCTGAATTAGGTTTGTTTGAATGTATTGGTTATGTAGTTAATGTAAAAGATTTACACAAATTAATTTGAGAGCATTTGACTGAAACAAGAGACATAAATATGTATAGAACATAGGATTCTCATTTTAGGTAACATCTGCTGGAACGTTTCCAGCTTATTCCTTTCTTGCTGTAGGGTATCAAAAAAGACATCTTTACTGGGACTATTCGGAATTACACGTGAATAACATTTAGATGTAAATTGTTTTTAATTCCTTTAAGTGTTTTCAAATATTCATAAAATGTTTAGAGGCTATATTTACTTGTCCCTTCGTGTTTGGTGTTGGATGGGGATAGTATAATCTATTTAACAACCGGATTTGGGTTCCTTAGTAATACATTTTTAAAAGGTGTGCCTCTTTTCGAGAATATGATATTTAAGCATCTAGCTTTTAATTTCTTTATTAAAAGTACTATTTTGGGTTTGAGCATTTTTGGCATTGACACTGGAACCGGAGTAAGGAAGCCTGCAGCAGTATTACCAGTTTGACACCACCAGTGGGTGTTTCTGTTGACAAATGCAGAGAAGAGAACATTTGGGAAGGAAATCTTTTTTTTTTTTTTTTTTTTTTTTGGGGGGGGGGGAAGGGGGAAGGAGCCAAAAGAGAGAAGCTGTAGAACTAAAGCTGCCAGCACTGTGTATGCTGAGCATTTCACAAGTACAAGGAAACCTAATTGGGGGGGGGGGGATTCTGGTTGGCTGTATTAAATAATGGAACTCCAAAAGAGACATACTAAATAAATTTAACCATTTCAAGAGTGTTAAATAATCTGCCATTTCAGAGTAGTTGGGGAGGGGCGTCCTTAAGTATAAAGGCTATCAAATCCTTTTTTAACTTAATCAATGCAACGGTTAATTTGACATATATGTATATATAAAAACAGCGTAATGTCATACTTTTGTTTATTTAGCATATTTCCTAAGCCTAATTCCTTTAAAAAACAAAATTTGATATATTAAAAAAATTATAAATAGCTTTTTTTCTCCAGAGAACATTACTTTCTCCCCTGCTCACTCTCCCCCCCCCCTTGCTCACTCTTAAAATTTATTAATGATTTAGGGGCTTGTGGTAGGGATTTTTTACTCCCTTGGATTTTTTTTTTTAATTAAAAAACAGTTCCCTAACTAAACCTGCCATTGTTTTCATTGTAATGTTATTGGAGTTATTTGAATTAGAGTGTGGCATCTAATGTGTTCCCTGGGGTTTTAAAAGGAAAGGTTCCCATTGAAAGAAATTGCAGGGCCATCTCACAGAGATAAGTAATAGAAGTTTGTATTTATACTAATCAGATGTATTCTGTTCCAAATATGCTGCATGGGGATAAGGCAACTTCATTTAATGAGAACCAGATTTTACATGGTATTTCTATTTTGAAGGTGCAGTAGTCTTACATTACAAACCAAAATACAGAGGTGGAGAAATTCCTTTAAGTAGTTTTTTTATCCCTCAGGCCAGTAACACCACTGTCACCCAGAATCTATGAGAGACTCAACAATAGTTGCATTGTTGGGAATGACAGTGGCTTCTCTTGCAGAAAGCTAACCTTTCATTATGATTTACGTTTCAATTTACTTTGTAATAGAAAATTCATCTATATCTGAGAAATTGTAGGAAGTTTGTAAAGAAGTGAGCAGAGAATAAGTTTTCTTCAGCACGTCTTGTTGAAATTTTGCCTTTCTTCCCCCTTCCATTTTGATAACTTTGGTGGTTATCTTTTTATTTCTCCTAGGTATTAGAAGGTGTGCTAATATAAAACTTTATTTTTGGTAGTTAGTGTGTAGATACGACTTTTTCATACATTGAATTGATGTCAAATGACACGAGGCATTTAAAAATAAATGAATCCATGTGCTTGGGTCCAAAATGTTAGGGAAGTCTTTTATATAACCCTTAACTTTGATACAAAAATAGCAAAATTTGAAGTATTCAGTTGCTTTCTGAGTGGAAAAGCCTGTTTATTCAGAATTAATTTTACATTTTAAAGTTTTTGTTTTGAAAACATCAAATTTCTTAGTAGAAGAAGAGCTAAAAATCTCAAAAGTTCTTTATCATTTGATGATGGTGACAGTTGGATCACATATTTCATCTTAGGAAAATAATGCAATCAAAAGACTACATTTAGGATTGGGGATGTCGTTCAGTGGTGGAGCACGTGACCCTGAATTTGTTCCCCTTAGGGATGGGGGAAGATTCTCTTTATTTAAACTTTCTGTTCTGGGCTTTTCCATTCTGCTTTCAATCTTAAGCTCAAGATTAGAAATCTTTTGTTGGTGATAAATGATTTTAGTGTTTGTATCTTAATTTTGTAGAGTTTTCAGAATGTTTCCTCTATATAGAGCAGTGCATGAATGACTGAATTACTCCACGATCTGTCCTAATTTCTCATTCAAGTTTGTTCATCTTCATCCTGAGATATGAACTTGGGGGTAGTTCTGTTGGTGGATGTGAAAGCTGAGGGTCAGGGCCTTCTACGTAAAGAGGTGGATAACATTTAAACATTTCATATTTGGAAATGAACAGAAAATTATTTTTTTAGATTAAAAGGATGTGGCCCATTCTGGTCTTTGAAATTGTCAACATTTTGAATTAAGCTCTTAGAAACATTTGTGTTTGAGATAGTTTTAATCAGAGTCAAGTTTGGGTGTGGTCTCTTTTGGATTCTTCTATAATTCTTATATTTTTTGAGCTTTATTCAATATCAGGTACTGTGGCAAATTATTTATTTGCATGAATGTATGAATGTTTGTTCTCAAAGAATCTCTATGAGTAGGTGTTTTTCTTATTTTTCACATACATGTCAAATGGGCTCAGAGAAATTATTTGCACGGATTAGCCAGCTAGTCAGCAAAAGGGGCAAAATTGCTTTCCAAACCAGTCTGACTTGAAGCTGTGCTCTTTAAAACCATGTGTTCTGCTTTCTCTTAAGGAATCTGATTGCCCAAGCATGTTTTGAGTTCATCATTGCTGGGGAGGTACTTAAGGTATAAACATGGTTCCTGGATTTGATGAGCTACATTCACTGCTTGACCTTTAGTGACTTGGGAAGCTGGACTCAGATCTATCAGGACTGCTGGATAGGACAACTAGAAGTGCAGACTTTCCTAATACAGAGTGATTGGTTCTGTTTTTTTTTTTTAATATATATATAAATGAAGGTTGTACGTAATCATTTATGCTCCAAATGAGGTAACTGTTTCTAATTAACCATTTGATATTTCATGTTTCTGCATGTTCCATTACAACTTTTGACTGTCTTTGATTTAATTTGTTACACTAATAAAGATTATGAAGTTAGTCCTTGAATTCAATTTTGTGGTTTAGATGTACTCTTGAAGTAAAATGGCAGCCATTACAATGCGCAGGTGGGCATCTGTTCTGTAATTATAATGACTTCAGTAAAACAAAATATAAAGGTGAAGTCTGCAGAGATATCTTTCTTATTGTTGTTTCTTAATACATGGAGGTTGGATTCTGATGAAAAATTTTCTATTTGAAAGTATAATTTTCGGGGCTGGGGTGTAGCTCAGTGGTAGAACACTTGTGAAGCATGTACAAGGCTCTGGGTTTAATCCTCAATACTCTCAAAAAAAAAAAAAGGTAGAATTTTGTGCTACTTAAAGCTTTGTGATTTTTTTTTTTTTAATAAGACCATCATTAAGAGAGATGAATAGTTGCTTCTCCTAAAAGAATACTTAGAGGTCTATGTTAGGAAGGAAAAAGAACTTAACATCATTTTCTGTAATGAAAATCACTTGTCACTTTTTTTTTAAAGTTGTTTATGGACTTTATTTTAATTATTTATTTATATATGGTGCTGAGGATTGAACCCAGTGCCTCATACATGCTAGGCAAGTGCTCCACACTGAGCTAAAACTTGGCCCCCAGTATGCATTTTAACAGCTTTATTGAGGTGTAATTTACATACCATAAAATTCACCCTTTATAAATGTACTAGCCAATTATTTAATAAATTTATGG